TGCCTCCTACAGGCCCCACCCTGGGGATCGAGCCCACAACCTGGGTATGTGCCCTGACTGGGAATCAAACCATGACTTCCTGGTTCATAGGTCAATGCTCAACCACTGAGCAACACTGGCCAGACAGTGGGTGCTTTTCTTGAAACAAGGTACTTAATAGTACTTACTCCAAGAAATATGTTTTTGGAAGAGTCAAATCCAGCTGCGAATATCCGTGCTGTATAAGGCTCATTCCTGTCACAGACAATCCGGCAGGCAAACCTGGATATGGTGCTTTGTGTGATCTGGGCTTCGTCACTGTTCTGACCGCCGGAAACTGTGTCTGTGTGGGTGCTTTTCTTGAAACAAGGTACTTAATAGTACTTACTCCAAGAAATATGTTTTTGGAAGAGTCAAATCCAGCTGCGAATATCCGTGCTGTATAAGGCTCATTCCTGTCACAGACAATCCGGCAGGCAAACCTGGATATGGTGCTTTGTGTGATCTGGGCTTCGTCACTGTTCTGACCGCCGGAAACTGTGTCTGTGACGACGAAGTCAATGGGGCTCTCGGTTGATCTGCCCACCTGAGTAAATGAAAGCACTCATAACTCACTTGAAAAATATGTCATCATATTTTGCTCAAATGGAGTGAGAGTTCAGGATCCCTTTAACATTCCTTATCTCTGCTCTGAAGGTCAGAATTTAAGGGAAAAGAAGAGCCCTAACCCAGACCTAAGAGCAAAAACCTGTTACCATTCTTCAGTGTAAGGAGGATGTAAAGGGCTAGTCAAGTCAGTAGAAGTTTGGATGCAGTCAAATGAAAGATTTAAAAAGCTGGTCTTAATATTTCAATTCGGGATTTAAAAAAAATTCTCTTGGGAAAATCTAAAAAGTTGCCAATAATATTATATTGGCTTTCTTTCCTTGGTTAAGTTTAAATGCTGCCAAAAAGCATATATTTCATTGGCCAGATCTTACAGTTCTAATAAAGCTTTTCATATTCAATAAATCCAAATAAGACAGGAATTGTTCTGTCCTGTGAACAGAAGTGTTTGTTTACAAATAAGGAAATTTCAAGGTAAAATAGTAAAATGTTTATGTAATGATTTTCTATGGATCTCTACTGGAAAACGGTGATGATATATATGCCCAAGAGACTTCTTAACTTAAAATCACTTATATGTAAGTGAATAATTTCTTGCTAAACATATTAATGTTCTAACAATAGTGACTTTGATTCAGAAGCTGCCAACGGGAGGAACACAAATGTGTACATGTAAGATCCCCAAAAGGAAATTTCCCAGGAATCTTTATCTGGATCTCAAAATTCTACCTAAAATATAAGCAATATAATACACTTTTTATCCAAATGCATAAAAGGGAAGGTATTAATATATATTGCATAATTTAGCTCTGCTTGCTTCCTGGAACAATATTAAATTTCTTTTGTAAGTCTCACATATATATTCTCATGCATAGATTATCGCAAACCAACCAACAATAGACATCTCTTTTCTCCTGTATTTTTTTTTTTTACAAACCTTAATTTCTTGTCCTAATGAAATGTGCCTGGAATAAACTAAACCACTGGGCTCACGGAAATTCATCAACTTAACTAGATACATATTGCCTGAATATATGCATTTCAGGTTTAGAAAACCTGTAACTTGTTTAAAAATGCAACATAAAATGTAAATTAGAGGTATTACAAAATCATATCATCACACAATTCATCTTTCTGAAGTGGCAGACTCTCCTCTCCGCTAGATTCATTTAAAAGCTGGGCGTGTAACTCAGAAGTTCTGATTCAGACCACTCTAATTTTTTTAAAGTCCCTTGTAAGTCTATTTTCTTAGCTACTTTCAAGTATATAATCAACATTATTAGCTACTTTCAAGTATATAATCAGCATTATTAACTATAATCACCATGTGGTATATTAAATCCCCAGAACTTATTCATCTTACATCTGGAAGTTTATACTGTTTGACCAACATCTCTACCAACAGCCCCC